GATAAGTTTAGGGGCCACGTATTAGCTGGACAGGACTTGAATCTTGTTCAAGTTCGTATAAAATCCTTCCTCGATGACAGGTTCGTTCGGCTGTCAGATTAGTGTCTAAAATTCTACAGGGTGGGAATTCTCCTGCAAATCACAATTCAGTCGACAAAATACGGTACCTAAGCAATGTTCGTTCGTTGTCAACCCCTGAGTTTCGTAATAGAATGTCTAGAAAACCAGTTGTAGGTTTCACTGCTAGTGACATTGCCTCAGGCTTCAGTGCTGCATGATTTCGATTCGAGACTTTGCAGGGTGCTTAATACAGATCAGAGATAGACACAGTAAAAGGCTTCCTGAAGTCGATGAATTCTAGGCCAAAGAGAAGCTCATTTGTTGAGTGTATGAATCATTTGTTCTACATCTTGAATATCGTATAAAACGTCCAATCGGTTTTTCTATTTGAGTTGCAACAGCGCGAGATTGCTCTTAATGCTTCCATGTCAAGTACCATGTGTCTTCCTCTGGCAAACTTTTTCTCTCTGAGGCAAAATGAGATGACCTTGTGTCAAACGAGCCTGTGGTCATATGATTTACTGAAAGTGTGCAGCACCGCTAAGTCCTCGTTCTTTACGTTACCTAGTATAAACTATATTTCATCTGTGTCATCAATTTGGCTTCCACATTTTTATTTTATGCTCGATTTCTTGGTACAAAGTTTTTATGGTATTTAACTTGTTCTTTCCAGCGAAGTCCATTAATGAGTCACCACTGTCTTTCCTTTTGTTGTATCTGAATCGACCTGGGGGGGGGCAGTCGTTTCCTTGCTGCGACCTGACTTTGGCGCTAAAATAACCAATGAAAAACTTGTAGTGACTGTTCGGTTCTTCGAGCATCTAAGAATCTTCTACCTCTTGATTAGGATGATTTGATACCGGCGCATAAACTTGGATCATCTGCTGATCATCTCTTCGAAACTTGTAGAAACGGTTTTGCACACATCCGTTAAGTGCTGCTTACTCAATCTGATTTGTTGTTTGTTCTTCTGTTAATGATGAACGGTATTCACCTGTCCTTCCATATGTCAATCCATGTACAACAGTATGTTCACTTCTAAGCACCAGTATCCGTCGTCATTTCGTATAACAGAACGAACTTCAACATGTAGCATTTCATTTCACGGAAGCGATACAAAGTTGTACTCATTCTGTGTTAGTCAAACGTCGCAGTTTCAATCAGTTACTTTGACATTGCTTGCACCTCCTGTTCTTACGCCTATCCTTCTGCTGTCTTCGTCGGTGACAATCTAGCCTCCGGAAAATGACGGCCGTAGTTCTGGAGGTATTGGCCATAACTCGCGACGCTGACCAGAGCAAGATACATTTTTCAAGCTTTTTAGTATGATTGAATCGCCAAAGTCTGCAGACTCAGCTTACCCGTTTTTAACGCCCCCAGTCATTATGAGGTAACGGAAAATATCCCTTCAGCGGACTTCCATATAGAAATGTTGCATGTTGACGTGTTTACGATAAATCCTTTGGCTTTACTGGCACCAACAGAGTGGCGTGTACAGAAATCTGCAACATAGGAAATATGCATAATTTCTGCTCAGCATGATTATGTATATTGCATGCATGAATGGGTGGCCTGAGCTAAGAGGAACAACGAAATAGAGCACCATTTTTTTCAGTTCATGACTTAGAACGGAGTAAAAGAGCCTTATTACTTTATCCAAACGAATTGTATCGCACGCCTTTTGTAGAAACCAATTTCTCACAGCCGAGTTGATCCATGAGGAATGATGCAGGGTTTGGGTCGACAAACAGTTGGACCGTTTAGCTGCCAGAACTGCTCAAGACTGTTGTCGTCGGGAGGCACAGAATTACCGGCAATGGCGAGTTATCAATGCAAATGGAGCAGGGTGAATCTCACCGATCCAAAGACGATGTTACCAGTTGCGGTTCATACTTCACAACTAAGACAGCTTCTTGCATAAAGCAGCAATACATTGGAAGAACACAGCAAAATACATTAGGTGGCTTCTTCCTGTTTCTGCTGCCGAAGGCCCACTAACAAGGGGAATTATTTTGACTCGTCCATCCTACATTGGTGTTTGATAGGAATTATTTAAATAAAGATTCGCATTCATTTTTGCAAACAACTGCAAAATAAATGAATTAATTAAATAATAAATAAATGAAATTGATGATTTACCGCTTCTAAACCCTCCTCGAATACAATTTCATTCGGGTGCAGCTGGGTATGAAGTCGAGCAGAATCGCCAACGTCCTGCAACGTTTCATTCAACTGCAGCACACGCTGGATCATCAGGACCAGCGTTGATATTATTCTCGATCCACCTGCGGCTCCGGTTGCCAGTTCCACATGTCCGTGCTCTTGATCGTACACGATTGTTGGAGCGCATGACGACAGGGGTCTTTTGCAGCGTTGGATTGCGTTTATTTTTGTCGAAACGAAACCATATGCGTTTGGCTTATCAGACGTCGAAAAATCATCCATATGACTGTTCCACACGATCCCCGTTTCCTGTGAGGCTAGTTTTGAACCGTAACTAAAAACACACTCAATTTGAGCCGCTGAACTTATAACACTGCCTTATTACTATGTGTTAATGGTTGGAGTCAGTGAGACTGCGTTTCCTTCAGCGTCCACCACAGAAATATGTGCCGTTCCTCCGACTTTGCTGGAAACATTTGCATTTCCATAGTATTCAGCTGGATGAGTTCCACTCGTGATTAATTTCCTCGTGGCTTCTCCATAGATCGGCTGGATCATCCGTTCTGCTGCCACTTTGGCTGACGGTTCATAGCATGGGTCAGCGAAAGAAGAGCGTTCACCGAAAGCAAATTTCGTTGCCTCGACAAAGCGGTGATATAAATCTACCAGTTTTTCAGCTTTACCATCTGATAGCCCTAAAATGTCTAAAAATTAATTTCGGATGTTCATGAGCAAACTCTAGCGTCATCTGTTTGTTCTACGTTACTTAGAGGGACCATTTAAATAAGTGATGGCTCCATGGTATTCGAGAATCTGCAGTGCCAGATGCGTCTGGCATCATCATAGCCGTTAGAGCCAGTTCGAGGTTACCACAAACGATGTAGTATTTCTATCTTTTATGTAATCACATCATCTTCTATCTGATTTGCTTTCGTCAACGACAGTGCAACAAATGCAAGTTGAAGTACCGCTACTCTTTTTCGCATTCCGCCCATTGCTTCTACCATTGACCAAACAGCTTCGTCATTGGATCGTCCCAGCCTATTGGTAGGCGATCGCTGGACATCTGGTGAGGAAGAGGATTCAATTTATAACTGGAGATGCCCACTAGTTGCCCTTCAGATA